GTCCTCTGAAGAGTGCTGTCCTCTGAAGATGCCCATGGCCACAGAGACTGGCGAAACGTCAGAAAGAACAACCTTCAGAACATGGCCAAAGAGCCCGAAAAACCCACAACAACCATTAGATCCTGGCCGTGAAAGCCTTCGCAAAAACTTAGGATGTTTGTGATAAGACTGATGCTAATACAATAAAATGAGATGCACTGTAAGTGTAGGGAGAGGAGGAACTACCAATTGAAGATGAGGTCCTGGAATGCCTGCTGGAGCATCTGGTGACCAGGAGTGGCTACTGAAGGGCAACGGTACAAAGTGTGCTCCTTTAAGAAGTAGGTGGTAGACCCAGATAGGCCAAGGCCCCAGTTTCCATCCCAAACTGGCCCACTAGGAAGCCTTGCAGCCTAGAGTTGCTGTCTGCCCTCTTTTACAGGGGACAGGCATCTAAATGAAGAGCTACTGGGGGACTGCTTTCCTTCCAGCTATAGGGTTGTCCAGCCCAAGTTAGTTTTAAAGATAAAAGAACCGCAAGGAGAGAGAGCAAGGACCTTGGAGTCACCCATCGACAGCTAGCACATGGCCAGGAGACTCAGCAGGCACACCCATCACCTGGACAGTCTTCCCCACTCAGGTGAGTTGTAATTCTGTATAAATCATAAAAATAATTTCTAATGTTGCATTCATAGAGAGAGCTCCATATATAATTTTATACAACAGAGTGTTTTCATTCTGATTGTTAGTGAGCACCCAGTTGTTGCATTTATATTCTTATCGTCATTGTTATATCGTATTCCTGTGTTGTGTTCACACATTTTATGTTTCTGTACATTGCTTTGAGATCTCCAAAGCTATGCAGCCTATCAGTACTCATCATCATCATCATCTTAAAACTGCAGAGCTGGAAGGGACCCTATGGATCATCAAGTCAAATCCTTAACAAGCAAGCACAGTGGGGAATGAAACTACTCCTAAATAAGTAAATCGCTGTGCCTTCTTAGTGCTCCCCACTTGAACATGCAACTCTTCTGCATTTATATTCTTATCGTCATTGTTATACGATCCCCAAGCATGTATTGTGCATATCGTATTCCTGTGTTGTGTTCACACATTTTATGTTATTGTACATTGCTTTGAGATTTCCAAAGCTATGCAGCCTATCAATACTCATCATCATCATCTTAGAACTGCACAGCTGGAAGGGACCCTATGGATCATCAAGTCAAATCCTTACCAAGTAAGCACAGTGGGGAATGAAACTACTCCTAAATAAGTAAATCGCTGTGCCTTCTTAGTGCTCCCCACTTGAACATGCAACTCTTCATTGGGAAATCAGGAACCATCCCTCACTGGGCCAGATTTGACCAATGCCCAGTAGCTGCTAACTTACTCATCATACGACTCCAGAAATGGGTTGTCAGTGCAAGATTCTAAACAAAGTTGTTGTTCCCCATTGGTATGACCTGCTATATAGCTCAGTGGTTTAGGTCTCTGGCTACAAAGCCAAAGGTTGGAAGTTCAATTCCCCACTGGGCCTCCTTGACAGGGGCTGGATTTGATGATCTACAGGGTTCCTTCCAGCTGCCATTCTAAGATTATTATCATTATTATTAATCTATTGGTCAAGTGGGAGGCCAACCAGTGTCCTTTTCTTTGGGTTTGGACCCTGATATATGTAAGCCACAACCACATTTCATTCCTGATAATTCTGGTACTCAGTAATGTCCAATGAAGGGTTACCTACTGCATATATTCTACATACCCTTGCTGTTCTCACCAACTCTTACAAAATCACCGACTACTTTCTGATCCTGCAGTATAGAGGTTATCCCACTGATGATGCGAAACAGAAATCCTGCAATAATTTATGAGGTAGCATTTAGTACTATGAAGTTTGGCGGCTTTCTATGTCTCAGAAATGTGAGGCAAACTTAAAAGATGTGTGGACACTATTTTAGTGACACCCTGAGAGTTACTTTTTTGGGGGACAACTTGCAGAATAATCCAGCCAGTATAACTACATGGCCTGCAGGAGACAAAAGTAACTTTTTCTGTCTTTGGAAATTCAGTACAACCCAGGAAGGGGGTGAAAGAAAAGGTTTGAGGGCAATTAATTGCTGGATACCTCAGTGATTTAGGTAGCTGACTGAAGAGCCAGAAGTTTAGCGTTTGACTCCCCACTGAGCCTCCTTTGCAGGGGCTGGACTTGATGATCCATAAGGTCCCTTCCAGCAATGCCATTCTAAGATTACAGATCCATAAGGTCCCTTCCAGCAATGCCATTGTAAGATTATTATTAAAATGCAACAGTCCAGTTCTAATGATACAATTCTTTGCCTCTACTACTCATCTAATCCTTTCACTTAATCATTCTCTTCCTTTATGAGGTTTAAATCTAAAGCAGAAAATGTTATACGCAGAATAGAGAAGTAAATATATGCAATTAAATAGTTTTACGAGTCCTTGCTAGGCCAAAAATTTCTTATGCCGTAGCTTTTTTGGACTTGGGCAAACTTCAACCCACCCTCCTGTTCCTGGAAGCTTATGTGGTAATAAAATCTGGTTAGCCTTTGTCGTTCTTCTCTGTCAAGTTGGAACCAACTTACAGTGACTCTTAGTAGGCTTTTTAGGGTGAGATACTCAAGCAGTGGTTTTGCCAGTTGCAATTCCCCTAGTGAATTTGCATGGCTGAGGGAGGATTCGAACTCATGCCTCCTGAGTCCTTGTCCATCACTCTTTATCCACTACACCAGTCATTCTCAACGGGGGGGGGGAACGTCCTAGCACATGTAAAGGGGGAGCACGGGCTAGAAATAATTCTCCACGCACCACTTTGTAAGGTTTGTTACGCGACATCTACAGTCCCGATTGGGCTCCTGTTTCTTTCATGTTGCATTTATGGCGCTGGCCAAAAAGAAAAAAGGTCGAGAATGGCTGCATTGCACCACACGTTTAACCCCGGTGCGAATGTGTCACAAGGCAGCCCACCTCCTGCATTTATTTGGGCTAGAGGCTGCTCCAGCTCATCCAGCGCCTTTTCCCTTCTGGCTGCAACGTAGTTCCGCCTCTCTCTACTCGCTGCGCCTTCAAGGCACCCCTTCCCACGACACGCGTGCTCGCGTGTCTCCCTGCCTCGTTTTTTCCTACCGACGTTCCTTCCCTTTCTCAAACAGACCGGGGGGGGGAGAGAGGGCACTTGGCCACGCCCCTCCCCGCACTTGGCCACGCCCCTTGGCGGCCACCCTGCCCGTCAAGCGCCCTTCTCCTCGCTCCGCGCTCTCTTTCCTTCTCCCTCTTCTCTTACCCGCGGCCGCGCCCGGTGGCAGCACCACGCCGCCGTGTCGCCCTGCCCGGGCCCGAGGCGCCTGGTGCTGCTGACGCGGCCTTCCCATCTCCAAGGGCACCGGGGCCCCAGGCGTCCAGCCACCGCCCGGCTCCGCTGATACATGAGGCGGACACGGCGGGCAGGCGGCTCCGCTCCTTCCTCTCCGCCAGCCTCAACGCCCTCTCCGCCTCAGAATACCGCCCGCTTCAGCCGGCTAACCTAAGGCGCCTGCGCCAGCGGGAGAGGCCGGTTGCGCACGCGCAGTGGTGCAGTCTCCTTGGCTGAAGGAGGAAGAGCGGCGCAAGCGCTCTCTTCATAATGGCCCTTGTTTGGTGAGCGAGCGCGACCTTAGACTTTTTTCCCCTTAGTACTGCGCATGCGCGGGGCGAAAATGGGCTCTAGGGTCCGTCCGGTCTTAAAAGTTCTTGTGGAATCTTCCACCCGTTGTGGAATCTTCTTGTGCTGGATCAGGATTCTGGATCGTGAGCCATCTGCCGTTCCCCGGCATGTTGCAATAACCCCCTACTTCTGGTTTCCCCTCCTTCGAGCAAGCATCAGTATTTTTCCACGAAATACTGTATATTTTTCGTGAGCTTATAGGGAAAGCCATAAGCTCACTGGCACAGCCCTTTTGTGCTTGTGTGGTGTTAGCATTCCTTCCTAGGCAACAGAAATGGGCTAACGCACGGGTTACACTCAGAATCTGGCAAGGTTTCCTTGCTGTGTTTCCTTAAGAAACAGCCACATACACACACGTGTGAACTGTCAATCCTGAAAGCCTGCAGGAAAGGCAGCTCTCCTTTTTCAATTGGGGCGCAGGGCTTGTTTTACACTATTATGTGCCACAATGCAGTAATATCAATTATCTGGAAGCTGAATCATGGCAAGTGGACTGTTCAACAGTGCATTTCCAACCACTTATAATTTCTCCTCGCTTCCCCCACCCCCGCAGTTCTATACAGCCCCCTTTCCCCCATAAGCAAAGCTGTCAGACAAGGATATGTGTCATATACTTCTGTTTATTCAATCTGTATGCAGAACATATGAAAGGGGGGTGACAACTGGTGGAAGAAATATCAATAATCATGATATGCAAATGACACCAGAATACCGGCAGAAACCAGCAATGATTTGAAGTGACTCCTGATGAAGACAGAAGAAAATGCAAAGGCAGACTGCAGTTTTAACAGAAAAACCACACCTCTACAGATAATTACCCCTCAAATTGTCTATGCCTATTCTAAACAAACAACCCATTCCTCTGCTTTCATATACAGTAGTATCTTTGTATCTGTGGAGCCAGTATCTGCAGTTTCAGGTGTCTACGGTCACCACTGCTACAACTCAGCCTTCCATATGTCTAAATACAGAGGAATTTTAAAAATGCACAGATGAAAAAGCATGCATTTTAGGCTCCATTTTGTTTCAGAGGTCACTCATCTTGCAACTGAGGTTCAAAAATGGTGTGTGGGAACAATATTCCTATCCTAGAGGAAATCAGCAATGATTTTGTTCTAGTGTTTCAATTCAGTATTTAATGCCACTTTCAATGTTATTACATGTGTATAAAACTGACAATTACATTTAAAAAGATATAAACATGTAACATAAGGCAATTCAATGTGAACTAAAGTGACCAGATGCCAGGAGGATTTGGCACAATCTAGCTTGTGACATAATAGAGTACAAGCCCAAAGTTCAAGTATTTTCATCAGGACATCTTAAAATCTCTTCAGAAGATTTCCAATCTCCAAGTTCTTCCACTCTAATTTTAGCCTATATGCTACATGCCATTAATGGTCACGCCTCTATGAAACTGGGAACATTCAGTCCTCCAGGTATTATTGGATTACAAATCTTATCAACCCAAGGCAACAGATCTGATGATGGGGGATGATGGGAAATGCAGTATACCATTTGGAGAGCCAGATGTTCCTGATCTCTGTGTTAAAAAAATACTAAAATTTAGTTAAACATCAATAAATTTGAGGCATTGTATTCATTGTTTGTAATTCTTCCCCTTTAAAAAGCCCCATGAGTACCAATCATGGAGAGTTGAACCCTTTCTGTATTTCAGAAAGAAGTGACTGAGGGGTGGACTGTGTAGTATGTCATTTTATAAGATACTGTATTTTTGAAACCACTTTTGTTGTCATACTTTGCTCTATTTTTCAGTTATTATCCCTCTTCAGAGAGTCTCAGCCAGCAGAGGGAGCTGAGCAGATAGATATGCAGGAGGAAACAGGAAGAGGCAAATTAATACAGTGGTGCCTCGCATAGCGAGGTTAATCCGTTCCGGATTAACCTTCGCTATGCTGAAGTATCGTTGGACGGGGCAGGGAATTCCATTGGAACGCATTAAAAATGGTTTAATGCGTTCCAAATGGGCCGAATACTCACCATTCAGCGATGCTTCTTAATGGCCGGCAGCCATTTTCGCGCCCTCCCCTCGCTTAACGAGGGCGCGAAAACGCTGTGCGCGGCCATTTTGGGCCATTTCCGGGCTTCCGGCAGCCATTTTGGCAGCCAAACAGCTGATCGTCGGGCTTCGTTTTGCGAAGATTGGTAAGCGAAACGCTTACCGGTCTTCGCAAAGCGAATTTTGCCCTATTAAAAAAACGTTGAGCGATCGCATTAGCGATCCCAAAAAGGGATCGCTATGCGATTTCGTCGTTGTACGGTGCGCTCGTTAAGCGAGGCACCACTGTAATTCACTCGTGCACATAAGCATCAAGGCACGATCAGGACATGAAAAGATCAATACAAGACCCAAAGAATAGAAAAAGTGCACAGCCAATTTTGTTTAGAGACCATGAAATTACGTCTGTTCTTTGTGTGACTCCAAGTATAATTTCTGTGTTGGCTAACTGGAATTAAACTGTTGCAAGAGCTCCCTGATATGGATTAACTTACTTAAATTTGGAAAATAAGTGGAATGTTGAGATTTATATTCAGATGCAGCAGTATGAGAATTTATTCGCGAAGGCTTTCACGGCCGGGATCTAATGGTTGTTGCTGGTTTTTCGGGCTCTTTGGCCGTGTTCTGAAGGTTGTTCTTCCTACAGTTTCGCCAGTCTCTGTGGCCGGCATCTTCAGAGGACAGTACTCTGTGGCCGGCATCTTCAGAGGACAGAGACTGGCAAAACGTTAGGAAGAACAACCTTCAGAACATGGCCAAGGAGCCCAAAAAACCAGCAACAACCAGTATGAGAATTGTTATCCATTTTCATTACACTGGACAAAATTGATTTATTGTACACGCTACTTATTTCTTTCAGTATTTCCTTCCTCCTGGTCTTCAGGAGAAAGGTGCAGAAGCTGACTATTCTCTTCTGACCCCAAGTTTTGCTTTGAAAGTTCAGGGTATGTTCAACATACCAGAGAATCCCTAATTTGGGAGTTTAAAAATCTTAATGCAGGGTTTTCATATATCTCAAATTTCGGAGCCTACATGACAGTATGCTGTATCCATATGAGTCACATTTGGCATAATTTAATTTGATTACAAAGGGTAAAAAAAGTCAGCATCATAGCAACATTTAGCTAAGTTGCATGAGCATGAATATTGCAGGTTTGTAAAACTGAAGATTTTTTTAAAAAATCAAGTATTATTTCAAATACCAGAGAAGGGAATTAATGAATTCCCATTTCAGCAATAGCTCAGTCAGACAAATGGATTTCAAACTAAAGGAAAGTGGTAGGAAGCTATTAGGCACTATACAGTATAGGGATAAAAACGCTTTGGCCCTCTAGTTAACATGGATTGTAATTCCCACAGTCTCTTGGTACTGATGATGCTGTTGGGAATTCTGGGAGCTGAAATTTAAAATATTTAAAGGGCCAAATGAGTTTCCTCTCCTTATATGGAAGATCAGTAAGAGGCAGAGTGAACCCCATGCCTCTCCTGGGTTGATCCAAGGGAAAGGAGAAAGAGTCATGTTGGCACTTCAGCCCAAGCTAACGCCAGGCAAGCGGGAGGAATTCCACATCAGAGGGTATGATCCAAGGCAATATTGTCAACAAGATGTACAAAGTGAAGCAGACTTGATACTCCTTCATATTGGCAAGATCATGACTGACTTGATATTTCATTCACCAAGGTCTAGTATTGCAATACATATACTTCTGGTGGATCCATCTGGCTTCGTAAGGTCCTCCCGCAACTGCCCAGGGGGACTGCCACGGACTTCTGGCGAGAGGTTGCCATCCCTTGTTCTGTCGGAGAGGCAGGCTACCCGCGTCACCATCACTTTTGCACGAGGGATGGCTGTTTTTGACAACTAAAGTGCCACCATTCTTTGTCCTATCTTCAAGGGCTGAAGCAGCAAACATTTGTGAGTCCATGCTTTTGTGAACTGGAGATTCTTCAGCAGAACGGGTGGTATCCCCTATTGCTTTGCAGGGAGTTGGCACGGGATCATCTGGATTGCCAATGGCAACACTGTCAGGCCTACTAGAGAAAGAGATGATGTTACGCTAACCAATCAGAGGTGGGAAAAGGCTACAAGTCTACTGGCGGCAAGTATATTTGGTTCCCATATGCTGTGTTTTTTTACAGTGCTCATCGTGTTTCAAATACATTCTTGGTACACCTACTCTCTCTCTCTCTCTCTCTTTATGCATTCCATAAAGACTTTCCACCACTGTGGCAAACCATGCCCCCCCGGGAGCCACTCATATCACCGCATGTGGCTGAGGGAATCCAATGAAAGGTGTCGGAAAATGGTTTTAGGATTGGGCTCAATTTGGAAAAGTCATTTTTTAAAAAACACTACTCTTGCTACTATCCAAATTGCGCCAGTGACAGTGCTGGCTGGCTGGTGGTGGTGGTGTCATTCTGGGAGTCACAATAAAGAAAATGTTTCTAAATTGTGGTTAGGATTGATGGCAAAGACATTCTTTGCCCTCCCTCCCCTGGCCTGGAGTTGGCTAGACGAGCAGATGGAGAGTAGAGCTCCGGGAGCGACTGGAAGGCTGACCGAAGTCGCCCACGTTAAGAACCACTGGGCTAGACAAGCAGAAGGAGAGTAGAGCTCCGGGAGCGACTGGAAGGCTGACCGAAGCCGCCGCTGCCACCAGACATATAAGTAGAAGGCTGACCGAAGCCGCCGCTGCCACCGGACATATAAGTAGACAGTCCGGCCCCAGGGGCCGGCCCCTCGTTAAGTCCAGCTATTTCAGAGCATTGTTGCAGGGATGATAGGCATTTATTATCAGTTATTATCGTATATTTTATACACTATCTTTCCTGCAATGAGCCCAAGCTGGGTCATGTGAGATAGGTCATGCTGAGAGCATGAAACTAGTACAAGGTTACCTAGTGACTTTTATGGGTGGAGATTTGAACCCAAGTGTCCAGAGTCCTATTCCGGCATTGCATCATACCGGCTCCTCCACCTGAGGTGAAAGAAAAGTCACTGACACTGATCTGAGCTGCTTGGAAGAAGGACAGCCTGAACATGTATCAGCAACAGCTAACATCCATGGATAGCAGGAACACTGAAAGATTTGTCCCCATCTATTTTATTTGTCTATTTATTTATTTAGTTAGTTAAATAGTTTTACCCCTCCTTTCTCCTTAAATGGACTCAAGGCAGCTTAAAACAATTAAAAGAGACTATATCTAGAGTGTTCGTAAGTCATCACCATCTCAAAATAATAAAAAACAAATATTGGTCCAAATCCGGTTGGGAAAAGCTATGTGCCATGGTAGCACTGCAAGCCATTTCCCCTTCCCTGCCACATAAACCGTTGTTTGCGCGGTGACCATTAGGTGTGCAGCTTCTACCCATACAATTATTTCCTTTGCATATACTGTGCATTAATTTTCCTTTTATTGTCAGCCTCCTTGGAGGCCAGCTATATGGTAGAAACCTGGGATAAAAATATTTTAAAACATCATTTCATGAGAGGCACAGCTCAACACATGCATTTTGCCTTTTTTTAAAAAAAAAAACCTTTCAGGTTTGTACCGGGGAGAGAGATTAATCTTAGGGAAGCAGGCAGGAAAGAAGAGTGCAAATGGGAGTGGAGGAACAACAAAAGAAAAAGGGGACTAACTGCTAGCCACAGGCGAAGGACTCCAAGTAAAGAGCAACCGGAAGAGTCTGTCCAGTGAGAGGGGAGGTGAAGAGACCAGGCGGCCACTTTGCTTGATGGGTGACCAACAATCCCCTAGGCAGGAAACTGCCTCTGGCAGTGGTCCCCAACCTTTTACATACCACTGACAAGTGGTGGTGGGTCCGGGTGCAGGGGTTAGGCCCCCCGTGCTTGCAGGTGGGGTGTGTGTGCTCGTGGGTGGGTAGGGCGTACACTTGTGCATGTGCGGGTGGGTGGACTGTGCTTGTGCGCATGGGCGGGTTGCATTCATGTGGGTGGGGCACTCATTCATGGGGTTGGGCAGGCTGTGTGTACATGTGGGCATGCATGGGGGGAGTACATGGGGTGGGTGGGAAATCTGTCTCCATGGCATGGTCCTGCCAAGGCCATGGCCCCGTATTGGGCCACAGCCCGGGGGTTGGGGACTCCAGGCCTATGAGATTGTTCTCTTCTGCATCACCTTTGCAAGATGGCTTGCTTTTGTTCAAGTGGATAGTCCTGATGGTGGAATAGCTTCCTAGCTTTTGGAAGATTGGAAGAGCCTCCCAGCTCTTGCAGTTTAGGGAGAACCGGGGCAAACACAAGTCCTGGGGAGGAAATGGGAAGAGGGAGGTCTTACCGTCTCTCGGCTTCCTTAGATTTCCTTGGTGATCTGGGGACGTCCTTTAAGTCACCTAGAGAAATAGTGGGGAAAACCAGACACATACAGCATTTGATTTATACAGCTAGAGTAGCATTTTCCCAACACTCTCGTCTCCTTGGATGTTAGGCTAAAATTTAAAAAAATGGAGAGAAGTCATTCAGCTCTTTGGCAGGAATTCCTGAGTCTTAAACGCTGGCAAGGAATGAGCCAAGTTTTTACTTCTACCAATTCAAGTTCCATCAATTAATCCATTGTAGATGGTGATGATTACTTCTTGGCAGAAGCCCACAGGGTTGGTGCTGAGGGCAGCACTCGCTATCCTGAGAACCACAGCTTTTTTTCCTTTTCTTTTTTATGCTTACTAAGCCGGTGTTTTACAGAGAGGAACACGGGGGGGGGGGACTATTTGTTCTTCCATGTCAGTATTGTTTACTCAGTGATTAGTGCTTGTATTTTGTATGTATAAAGGTCCCAAGTTCAATCCCAGCCATCTCCAGTTAAAGGATTCAAGTAAGAGGGCAGGATAAGATCCCCATACCAGAAAAGAGTCCACCTACAGTCACAGCAAAAGGTACTGAACTAGAGGTGGCAGAATAAGGTACATCCGTGTGTTTTTAATAGATGTTTAATTTATTTGCTTAATGTATAAAATTGTTGTTGTTCTCTAACCGTCAACTTGGAACCAACTTACAGCAACCCTAATAGGGCTTTCAGGGTAAGTGAGATATTTAAGGAGTGATTCTACTAGTTGCACATCCCCAGTGAGTCTCCCTGGCCAAGTGGGGATTCAAACCTTGTTCTCCAAAGTACTAGTCCATCACTTTATCCATTATACCACACTAGGTTTCAATATATAATTAGATACACCAATAAAGATAAAACTATAGAACACACAAAGATGCGCTACACGAAGATATACACATCAAGATTTGCTATAGAAAAAGCAATTACTAAATGAGTTCTTAAGGGCATCAGGGGGCAGAAGACCGTGGTAAATCTACTAGAGGAGCTGTAGTAGACGGGCAACTCTGATTCCTAATAATGGCATCAACCAAATGGTGTCCCCCTAAACTAGACTGCTTAAAACACACACTTGGGGGTGGGGGACTAGAAATAGGTGTTTCTATGAAGGAACTTCTAAACTTGGAGCTAGTACTGGTCACAAATTGTTTCTTAACTCTTAACAAAATCTAATGGCCAGGCTCCTGCTGGGGATTTACGCTGGCCTAAATGTAATTGCGATAGGGATGGGGTGGCGCTGCGGGTTAAACCGCAGAAGCCTTTGTGTGCTCCAGGGTCAGAAGACCAGCAGTTGTAAGATCGAATCCACACTATGGAGAGAGTTCCCGTCGCTTGTCCCAGTTCCTGCCAACCTAGCGGTTCAAAAGCATGTAAATGCGAGGAGATCAATATGTACCACCTCGGTGGGAAGGTAACAGCATTCTGTGTCTAGTCATGCTGGCCACGTGACCACGGAAACTGTCTATGGACAAACACTGGCTTTATGGCTTGGAAACAGGTGTGAGCACCGTGCCCTAGTGTCAGACATGACTGGACTAAATGTCTAGGGGAATCTTTACCTTTACCTAAATGTAATTGCACAAACCGCAGCCACAAATTGCCACTCACGTCCCTGGTTGCATGCAACTTGCAGCGTTTGGCGTGCAACCAGGAATTTGAGCAACAGCTCATTGATTATTGGCAATTAGCCATCTCAATTTATCCAACTACATTTATGCCAGCAAAAGCCCCCAAACAAGATTCTGGGCAATGTTCTTTCATTCTTTATGCCCCTTAATTCTTGGCATTTATCAGTCAGCCTTTGTTTTCTGCGGTGGGGGGTTAATCCATTTAGTGAGAATGAGGGCAGGTGTACTGAATTAATCAAACCTATGAGTTAACCCATCCTCTTCCCACGGATTCAATGGGTCTACTCTAGTTGTGTCTAAAACTCCATGTAGGTGCATGATTCCAGGCTTTATTAAGTTACATTTATTTCCATCAGTTCCTTACGACAGACGTGGGTATGACTCTGGAGAAAGGAATATCCGCTCCTGATCCCCAGAACCAGCAAGGTTTCACTCACTTGTTTGTTTACCAGAGTCTTCCAAAAGTTGGCCTGAGTTCTCAAAGCGGCTGTAAGAGCATTTCTGAGCCATTAGGATGTCCTTTGGAGGGGTCTTCCTGGAGAATGAGGGGGAGAAGACAAGCAGGAGGGTGGAGATGATGAGGCAGCAGGAAGCAATGGGTAGAGGGGAAGCACCAAGCAAGAATGCAATGAGACAAGGAATATGCTACACAGAAAAAAAGATGGGGGGAATGATATTGAAGCAGTGGGGCTGTTTTATTTCTTAGACAAAAAAAATACTTATTTGTTCACAATACTTATTTGTTCACAATACAATACATCTGCCATGTCTGCAGGGTCAGTACCCACAGTTTCAATTATCTCTGCCTTAAAATGTTAAATATCTCCTCCCCAAAAAATATGTGTTTCCAAGGTGTATTACCAGAACTGGTCACTAAAGGGAACCATATACCATGCTACATATTGCATATCAGCTGGTTTGGGCATCCACAGGGGTGGCTCAGGGCTGATCCCCTGCATACAGTGGTGCCCCGCTTGACGATTACCTCATTAGATGAGGAAATCGCTTTACAATGAGCAGCGATTGCAAAACGATGTTTTAATAGGGAAAAATTGCTTGACGATGATCGGTTCCCTGCTTCGGGAACCGATTTTTTGCTTAATGGCGATCAAAACAGCTGATTGCCGGGTCTTCAGAATGGCTGCCCGCTGTGTGTTTTGGCTCCCCGCTATGTGTTTTAGGACGGATTTGTTGCTATACAGGCACCGGAAAAATGGCCGCCCTATGGAGGATCTTCGCTGGACGCTGAGGTATTTCGCCCATTGGAACGCATTGAACCAGTTTTCAATGCATTTCAATGGGTTTTTTACTTTTGTTTGACGACAATTTTGTTCTACAGCAATTATGCTGGAAAGGATTATCCTCGTCAAGCGAGGCACCACTGTACTGTGGTCCTCCTTTATTCATATGATACCCATCCATAAAGTCCTCTCTGTGGTTTGCCAAAGTTATGAATGAATAAAACCGAAATATATAATAATCAAAACAAATATTAAAAACTATCATTACAATTGAAAATGACAGAAAAGCCAGAATAAAAACACCCTAAAATAAAATCTGAAAAAAACTGCACAGGAAAAACAGTGCTAACAACTAAAAACATATTGTGAACATGTTGAATATAGTATCTGGGGGAATAAAGTCTTTGGCAGCAGCCAAAAAGATGGCAATGTAAGTGCTAGGCGTGCCCCCCTGGAGAAGACATTTAACAACTAGGGTGCCACCACCGAAAAGGCCCTCCCCATAATAGCTAACTAGACACATCATCTCATTAGTGGAGAAAAGGCCACAAGGACTGAGCAGGAGGCAGCAAGTCCTTCAACATACCCTGGACTCAAGCTGTTCAGGGTTCGAAAGTTAATACAAGGATTTGGAAATGAGGCCAGGAACAGGCTGGGAACTACTACCTGTAACAAAACCCTACAGCGCTGTGATTGTTTCTCCTAGACAGTGGAACAGGCTGATGCTGGAGAAGAGTGAGCAGCATCTGAAGAACTTTACCTTGTGCTTGGAGAAAGCTAGGCTAGATCCTTCTCAGAGTTCACTCTCCAGACCGTTATGGTAGATTTGGCCAAGACAGATGGCCGATGCAAGACCATGGATTGAAGCATCCTTTCCCAGGTTCTGACGTTAATTGTCCACCATATGTTACTAGTAGGAAACTCTCTCAATCTACAGATCTCTTCCTCTGACCACCCGTAGAACAGTTTGGGGTCCTGACACACCGTGCATGAGAACAGCTCTGTCAGAATCTGAGATGCCAGATACGATTCTTTTCAGATTGGTTCTATAAGACCAAAGGTCTCCTTTGCAGAATGTGCAGCCAACCTGGTCTTCACAACAGACAGACTTTTGCTACTACAGTATGATGGCACCGTATGTCTTGCTGGAAGACACTGATTCCTTCGTTTTATTTTTACCTTTTGCTTCTACTACTCACGTTATGGCTGACTACCACTATGCTAAAATATTTTCATACTGGAGTAGCTGCTAAGATTTTTGCTTGGGATTTTCTTGTTCCATGTTTTATGTTTGTCAAATGGCACAATGTGGTTTCTATCTATCTATATACTTGTTTCTGTCAACTCAAGGCCCCTCCAATGAACAGGAGTAGGAAACAAGATGGCAAGACCGGACAAGCGTTCCCCACTATGGCTCCCCCATTTGACAGCACATGATTACATGATATTATGGGGTGTATCACAACTCTCACCACTTCTAGCTGGCTGAGGGTGACCGAAGCAGTAATACCACCTCTGAAACATGCTAGGCTGGGAAAAGCTGGACTTGAGAGACTAGCGATGCTGACATACCCAGTGGCAGCTTATTCTGGGCTCTCTACTGAAACTTTCCAGCCATACTGGGCCAGGAAGAACCCAATGTATGGGCACACTGCAGCCCAAAATTTCAGACGACTCCCTCCAACAGCTTTTCTCAGTCCTGTGTGCTGTATGTCTTGTTCCTATCCAGAATGCTTGTCAGTCCCTCATTGGCTGAGAATGGGAAACAAGACACCACAGTATCTAAAGAGACCGCTTAAGGTTGTCTCAAGGTTACTGAGTGGAGGAAGGGTCAGAATAAATAGCGTGGCTTATGTAAGAGTTAGGGACCGAATTGAGTTCTTATTCCTTGTCTCTATTCTCATTTTTTAAAAAAACCCTTTTGTACACTATGGTTATTGAAACACTAGTGAATTACTAGAAAGATAATATGTAAGTGTAACAAATAAAAGGCTGTGATATCTAACTTCAGCTTGAGTTCCCAGATTCTGTTTGATCTCTCCGTTTGAGGGACATACACAGATCCTATCATCCAGCAACTGGGGTCCACCACAGCTTTTAAGACTGCTCTTTCTGTGATCCTTTAGCTTGTTCTGCAACACAGATGTCGTATATTCCTCTCTCTCTCTCTCTTTTGGACTACAATTCCCAGAATACCTCTTAGCATGGCCCAGTGGCCAGGCTGCCTGGGAGCTGTAGTTCAAAAAGCCAATGTTTCCTATCTCTGCTTTAAAAGTTCAGACCATTCTTCAAAAGCCCACCTTCCAGTGGCTGAATTTCAAAAGAATGGGGGAAAACGGTAAAACAGCTCCCTGGAGTTCAAGGGGACAGAAAATGCTGAGTTGGCATTAGAAAAGAATCCTTGCTTTTTCTCAACTTTTACTGGACCACACCGGGACAGGTTAAAGGAAGGAAGACCTCACAATGTACAACTTACATAGAAAAGTTCATACTTTTTCCAGAAGTTGTTGGATGAGGAAACAAAACCAAAGGCAAGATAACGTACTGAAACTTTAAAAAAAAATTCCAAACTTTATTGAAATGTAAACAACAGTCCATATTTTGCCAGACACAACACAGGTGAAGTCAGTACAGAGTCTTCGGTACTTTGTAACAAGAAACAGAGTAGAACGGGCAAACCTCAAGGAGAGATGCGGTCAAACATAAGGGCACAAGAGAGGTTCTCCACCATGGAGCAGCTTTAAAGTCTATTGCATTCAACAAAATAATGATGTCCCTGTGAGAAAAGTTCATGTGCCCATGAAAAGGCCATTACTGTGCTTGTGTACTAATTTGGTCTCTAGGAGACTTGTCATGCTTGGTTTCGATTTTTACACCAGGAAACTAGAGACGGAAGAACGCGCAACTGAGGACATAAGAACTATCATGCGAGGTGAAACCCAGCATCTCTCACAGGCCTCAGCTGGAAAAAGTTGAGAAAGAGGGACAGGATGATTCCAACAGGTCTGATTAAAAGCTGGCCACCTTTTTTGTCCTCGGCATCTGGTGATCAGAGACATCCCTATCTCTAAACGTACTTTGATGATCCACATTTTCATGAATAAAACAGTTTTCTAGGTTAGAGATGGGAAAGCTTTGACTTTCCAGATGTTTTAGATTTCAATTTCCATAATGAAATCTGACAATGTAAGCAACTTGCCTCCAGTTGGCATGTGTGTCCTGTGCCATCTAGTCAGAACTGACTTATAGTTATCCTAATAGGGCTTTCAAGGTAAGTGAGATATTTAAAGAGTGGTTTTACCAGTTCCACTCTCCCAGTGGGTTTCCATGACTGAGCAGAGATTCAAACCCTGTCATCCAGAGTCCACGTCCATCACTTTATCCACTATACGACACTGGGAACTATCCGTTGGTAGATCTTGGGATTTATGTTAAAATAAAGCAAATTTTGCATGGTTGACATATGTCTGCTTCCCTGTTTCTATAATGCTGGTGATGTTCTGTGCCATTAAACAGTTGCCTGGCTTAAGAAATAGCTATTATGGATCAAAATGGAGAGTAGTGTATGTCAAACAATCAAGAAATCGGCCAGCTATTGGGAAGTCAGCTTTTTCAAAAGGAAAAAAAACCACTTGGCACTGGACAAATTCATGAATGACAGGGGCATCATCAACTCTTGAGAAACTATCACTTCAAATACCGTCACTGAACACCAGATGCAGAGATCAAACGACAGCCCAAAATATTACTGTCCTCATAATCTGCTTGTGAATGCCCCAGCGGCAGTCAGACAACCGCTATTCAAAACCAAGATTAAGTTAAAGCAATCCAACAAGGCAGGTCCCTAAGCAGAGAAATGCCCAAACCAAGCGGTCACTTCTTCAGCTGTGCCTGTGCCTCTCCAGTTGGCAGAAGGAGGCACCAGGGGCACAGTGAGATACCCAGCCTGTGAGCAGTCCTGTCTCACAGAAGAACCCACACTGCCAGATGATACAGCTGGTGCTTTATCAGTACAAGAAAGGATAGGAAAGATCACAGGATGGCACAATGAATGGAAAGTGCTTGATCAACTACCACCTCCAATATCTCACTCTCTCCTCCTTTGCTTCACTTTACAAGATTCTGTGAAGGGCACCAAATGAATTATGCACATCAGTAAGTTCTACACAATGGCAGGTATTCCACCTTTTTGCGATTTCGCCATGTAAGTGCAGAATGTAATCCTAGGCCTTGAATGTAGCAGCCCGAGACTCTCAGCTTTCTTTTACAGTATTTACAAAATGCGCAGAAGGTG